ATGTCAGGACCCCTTGCTGGCCATGGAAGTGGTCCTCCTCTGCCAATCCACCGATGTCGATAATTTTCGTCCAGCCATCGTCGCACAGTTACACGACAGTGCGCAGGACACCCATCATGTTGATACCACATGTTTTGCCTTGTGGCGAGAGGAACATCGTGTAACAATCCGGATAAGTCCTCCCTTAAAAATGTTTCATAATTTTCGCCGTTTAAATAGTTTGGCAGAAAATAAGGCCCAATTAAATTGTCGTTGATAATCCCCATCCAAACATTTAGTGAAAATCTTCTTTGTGATTTAGAAGGTCTCTTTTTCCAGGATTTCTTTGCTCTTTTGGAGCCCAAAAATGTAAATTATGGTAATTTGTAATACCGTCTTGATCGAACTTCGACTCATCAGTCCACAACATTTTTCTAAAAATCATTGGATCTTCTGCATCTGCGTTCAACATAAATCTACAAAAATCCAATCTTCTAACTGGATCTCCTTCTTTCATCACATGTGCTGGTGTGTAGTGGTACGGATAAAGCCCCGCAGTATGCACAGTAGACCAGACCTTCCACTACGATACACCTAAGCGACGAGCAACTATGTTCGTGGAAGTGGTTGGATCTTCTTGAAATTTACTCAAAATTTCTTCCCCTTCCGCACGCGGTATACGGGGTATGCCACGTGGCCTGCCAACATCACGTTGTTGCCTTTGAACATTTCCAGTCCCTCGTACTCTACGATACGCTGCACTAAACACTGTGACATGGGGTGGTCGGCGATTAGGGTAGCGCTGTAGGTATTCACGGCGAGCAGCTGCAGCGTCACCGTCACAATATCCATAGAGATAAAAGATATCTGCGTATTCCTCGTTAGAAAATGATTGCCTTGCATGATCTCCGCGTCTTGGTGGTTCCGCCGGAGGGACATGCGCGCGTGTGTACGATGCCTGTACTGTAGTACTAATGACTGATTGAACAGTTTCTTCTTGTTTAACTTGTTTCTAATTTCACACTAAATGTAAACAATAGCGTAAGTTCAAACGCACAATCTTTTACGAGCATTCCCGCAGCTGTTGATAAGGTTCCGAGAAGCGATTGTTTGGGATTACCCAAAACATTGCTACTCGGAACTTATCTACCTGGCCCCTTTTTTTTAAGTTTTTTTCTGCACTATTTAAGTTACAAGCTAAATTGATACGTCGTTGGGTAGCTAGATAAGTAGGGATGTTTTTAACATGATTTGCACAATTGGTCACATACAATTATTTTTCACAAAATCATTTTTATTTTTAATTACTTATCTTCTGTTTGGAAAAAGATGTACTTTTAGTAGCGTTACTTCGAAAATTATGAGACTTTTTGCACACTGTAGTATTGATAAATAAGTATCCAGGTTTTCATTAAGTAAAAATAATAGAATGAAAATAATACAGCTGTAAGTTCTCTTTTTTAGAAATTTTTGACTCAAGACTTTTGGGATTTTTGGAAAAATTTATTAAACCTAAATATCTCGAAATTGGTCCACATTTGCATAATGCATTTTATGGTTCATTTGATACGTTATGACCTCAACTATCACGCCTTGGCGGGAATACGTCGAATTACCAGTAACCCTGTATATATGTGTATATATATATATATATATATATATATATATATATATATATATATATACAGTACATTACAGTTTAGGGAAATTTCCAGTAATAAAACTTAGATTATATATATAGGTAATTGGTTTTTGTTTAGTAGCCGCAGAAGTTTTTTAATATCTTGGCTGTTATCCCTTCGAACAAGTGCGCTATCTGTTTTTAGGCTTAGGATAGTATTTATGACTTCATACTCTTCAGTTGGATATATTAAGAATGAACCCGGTGGTGGATTAACTGATTTAGCATTTAAAGTAAGATCTGATTCACGTTTACCTAAGTGATTTAACATCTTATTGGCAAGATTGCGCCCAACATTAACAAAATATTCATTTACATGATTAAGTGATCCATTTGGCGTTGTATCAATATGAAGCAAATCTGTAGAGGGAGGTTTTAGGTCCGATATTACATACGTCTTATTATTCATTCAGGTTTCCTTGGCATTTCCAGACGTCTTTGGTAGTATTCAGTTTTTAGTGATCTAACTATCCTGTGGAACCAATTTCTATAGGAAATAAACCTGTTCTTAAGTTGCTCATTTGCGGGTGCTAATTTACTCTGTTTGTAGTAAACATCTGTTTTCGCAGCATTCTAACTATATATATGGTTATCCAGGGCTTTAAGGGTCTATTTATTCTAGATAATTTAATTATTTTGGTATTAGTGTTGATAATTCTAATTAGCCTGATAATTAACAATTCCATAGCCAAGTTGACATCACTTATTATTTAGAGGTCCTCCCACGATTGCTTGTTAAGATCATGGCTCATTTTTTCAAAATCACACAAATTATTTTATTATTGGTCATGGGTGTATTTCCTATATATAGTAAAATAGGCGAGTGGTCTGTTAGTTCATTATAAATAATAGTATTCCATTTATTACGGCATTTTATCACAAAATGATCAATACAAGCGTCACCCATTGTTGGAAGATCAACACCTTGAAAAAGCCCGTATATTGCCATCAAATTAAGATACATATAATTGTCTCTCATAAGCTTATCCACTGAAATATCTAAATTAATATCCCCAGCAAAGATGATATTGTTAGATTTTACGCTACGTAATATTTGATCTAAGGAGTCGATATAATCTGATGGATTTCTAAAACAGGCTGGCCTATAAGAACATACAATTGTGATTTTCTTTGGCAGAGATAAGGATTGGATAAGGCAGTTTCCATCTTTGATATTGGGTTCACCGCAAGACGTTCGAATATTGTCTCTTACATGCACCACCGCACCGTCGTTTTGATTAATTCTCTGCTTGGTATGAAAAATCCTATAATTATTCAACGCAGGCGGGGTATTGTTTGCGTTGATCCAACATTCTGAAAAGACTAATACATTTATTCTTATATTAATGTTAGCAATAAGAGCTTAGCAAAGATTAAGTTTGCAATGTATACTTCTTATATTCAATGCCATTATGCATAAAAAATTTGTCTTGCTTTCTTTCTATTTAAGAACGTAAGCACTTTTGTCAGCCTCCATCAACCTTACACATGCAGGTTTACCTGTCGAATATAACTCATATACAATATTAATTATGTACTTCTAACTATTGTATTAAATTATTTAGATAATTGAAACAATTTGTTTTATAGTATAAGGGTGGCAAACGAGGACACAATTCACCTGATGGTAGGTGGTTGCTCTGGCCCATAGACATCTATATCTATCCTAGATAACGAATCAAAATACATGTGCGTTGTCACCCGTGAGGAATAAGATGGAATGTGACATTTACAGTAAAAAGGGTCTCCGATTCTCCACACTCAACATACAAAACACAGCAGCGTTAAGCTGCTATTTGACGCTGGTGTTCTGTGAGAGCATGGTCCTTCTCCGGTCGAGCCTACCCTTTCGTGCTGCAACTATATAAGTAATAAAGCTGCAGCATGGCTCTACGACGTTAAATCTTACAAACATTACAATCTTTATAAGTATTTAAAATAAGCGACCGGTTTAAAAGTTTTATTCGAGATCTACAAGAATAGTTCAGAAATGGACTTAAGGATTTTTTTATATTAGCTTTTCCTAAGTATAATGGATTATGAAATACCTTTAATTTTTTTTATTCTGAAATTTTTTAACTAATAATGTTTACGTTAAAACATATTGTCTTTATTATCCTTAAGTATATATTTTTGGCATTGAGGTTTATAAATGATTAATAGTATGTGAAATAATACATGCTGTGAATATTTCACAAAGTAACAACTAGTTAAAAAAATTCTGTATTACTGTGTATTTTATATTTTTATACTGATATTTTTTCACACTTGTGATCTGATATTAATTATGATCTGTATACTATATATGTACATAAAATATTGACCAATAAAGCATTATGATGAATAGTAAATTTCAGTAAAAAGTAATTTACCTACGCTTAGTTCTAGTTATTTACATAAGAAGTCACTACGTACAGGCTTCAAACAGTGTTTGTATTGTGACGTCAAGAACGTGTATATAGACGGTTGCGCAGGAGTCATTTAAATAGTTCGCACCGAGGCGCGCTTGGCATTCCTTAAACTAGAAAGAAATCTATTTCATTGTGTGGCTCCGGCTCATAAAGGAGCTGAGTAGTTTCTGCCGAAGGTACGTTCATTATTGGCTGTGGTTGTGCGTTTCTAAAATATTGTTTTTAAAACAAGGATTATGCATTTAACGAGTGAAATATTATTACGGTATAAGTTTGCGAAATATTTACTATACTTTTACCTCCAAAAACTCGATAAAATAATTTAAAATTTGCAGTTATTTTTCGTGATTTATGTAAATAGTTTTTGAAAAATACTTCAACGTAAAAATTTAATTTTTTTGTGCAAGTTTATTCTATTTATCTTGATTTTTTCATTTTACTTCAATCATTTTTTATCAATTCAATATGTTTCAATAGTTAAACACTATTATTGATAGAAAAGCTAATTAAAATTCATATTTAAAATATTACCAAATATTATATTGTGTACATTAGCACAATATATTTCGTAATATTTTTCAATTACGACAATTTCTACACATTTATTAAATTTTTATTGCACTTGTTGATTATATCTAATAATTATTTATTTATATAAGTATTTTAAGCTAACAATAATACGATCTCTATTATTAATAAAAACCACAATTTTATATTTCGAATAGCAAAATTAAAGGCTTTTGTGTAATCCAAACATCACAGTTGTAAAACATATTAGTTTTAATTCCTATTGCATAAAATTACAAAGTATTTCTTACCTTTTTATTTTAAAATTGTGCATTCATTGACCACTTGCGTTATCTTTATAGAACATGAGTTACACAGCAGCAGAAAATGTGGTCCAAAGTAGCACTTGGGCCGCAACAAATATGTTCTACGTGCTACTTGTCCCAGCTCTTATTCTCTGGTACACTTACTGGCGAATGTCTAGAAGGCATATGTACGAATTAGCTGAAAAACTTCAAGGGCCACCAGGATTGCCTTTACTTGGAAACGCTTTGGAATTTACTGGGGGATCGGATGGTATGTGTTATACAATTATGTATTTATTTATATCGTCGCCAAATATCGTGTATTTATGGGGATTTCACCACTAAAACACAATTTGCATTTATACCTTTTTATTTATTGAAAACTGTCAGATGTTAGTTTTTTTCATAAGCCTACAATATGGCTTTGATACTCTACAACAATATAATTTTTTTTTTAATTTATGGTTTAAATTGTTTAGTTCACCAATTTCTTACACGATTTACTTATTTACTCGAAAGTATTTTATAGTGGACATTAGAATTGTATAATACAAATAAACGGACACAAAAATAACTATTATTGGACATTAAATTTTATCGTTTTACAATTCGTTTCACAAATCGACTCTCAATCTGTAATTACGCTATATTGTAACTATGGCATTACTATTACAGTATGAAATTACCAGGGTTACATGAGACAACAAAAAAAAGAAGACTTTTTGGGTTCCTCTGTGTAAAAAGAAACCCCTATAATTTCGTTTTGGCCTAATAAGAACTGCTAGAGTTTCTAAAGTTTGACAGAATCAAATATAAATTTAGGAGTTTTCAAATAAGAATAGATTACAATCAAACTCTCATAATATTTTAAGGCAGCGGAGGTATCAGGATTGTCGTAAATATAATTCTATATATTTGCCTAACCCTCTGGATAACAGGCGTTATGTTATGCGTTTATGATATGTTATGTATTTATCAAACAAAATCAAATAAAAATCTTTTATGTCTCTATCTGTAAATTTATATAAATAACACATTTTATGTAATATTAGTTACCTTTCAAACTATAACTTATGATTAAGGAAGTAACAGTTTAAGTCCACAACGTGCAATAATGTAAATGACTGGTTGAACATTATTATTAAATACCTAATCAACGTACAGTGTAATAAAGACGTGTTATCGAAGATCGATTTAAATGTGGGTTTTTTTGTAGATGTATATAATTGATTATTGTATTCTCAACGTATAGATTACGAGTTGGACTGAGTTATTTTACTTATTTGAAACATTATTTCGAAGGTCTAGTAGTGTAGCACTTACAATTAAATAATGGTTTCTTGGTACTCAGATTCTTATCCAAAGCTATCATTTATATAAAATACCAGTTGTACATTTTCAAGGCTAGGTCACATTCTAACTACTCTTAGGTTGTAGCTAGGTACTGTTTTGTTAATAATATTAAAAAAGTCCACTGTAAAACTTTTCTCAGATTTTATTACAATATCAGTATATTAGGCAGGATATACAATATGAGTCTTATATCTGATATCTTCAGATTATTCGGATGTTGTTAGTGACAAAAAAGAGACTTAAGACGCCTTTAGGCAAATTAGCTCCAAGATATAAAATTTGTTCTAAACTATCGTCGAGTTCAAACTAAGATTTCATATACCTATATGTCATTTTTACTCGAGTAAAAATAATAAGTATTAATTGCATATGTGCTTGTTATCAAATTCTTTTTGAACCCGTTACAGTCCATAGACGGACATGGGCTTATCCTATAGTAAGCGGGATTTATCATAGGCCCCGTATAAGAGATATTGATCTGCCACGTTGTAGAGCAACGCTACAGCTATATTATGGTTGTAATAAAAATGGGTCGGCTCGCCCGGGTTACGCCCATGCACTCACAGAATACCAGCGCAAAATACCAGCTTAATGCTGATGTATTAGTACGGTGAGCGTAGAGAACCAGACACCCTTTTTACTGGAAACGAGGCATTCTATCTTAGCCCTCAGAAGTGACAACGCATCTGCATTTTGATTTTTAATCTATGGTCTATAAGCCACAGCATTCATTAACCATCAGGTGGACTGTGTGTTCGTTTGTTATCCTTATTCTATAAAAATATATCATCGCAGTTATAAAAGCCTCTCCTCGCAACCTCAACGCTACTTCTCGTTATGAGTTTGGATATTTGTCTCGTATCTACAAGATGGTTAACCCCCATGTAGTAAAATGCCAGAGTCACCTCTTACATCAACGACATACTCGTATGTGCTAATAGATTCCCTCACAACGCTAACAGACATTGTTTCTAACGGTACATCCAAATTTATCTCTGATTTTGTCTCCAAACTCTTCGGTCGCGGATTAGAACGCAACGAGTGACGAGTCTCACTCATGCTCATAGATATAACTCATGCTGTAGCTCCCTTCTTATGTTTTCATAAGTAGTAGGCGTGATCGAAATAGGCTGAAATAGGCACCACACATGCGTGCCATACATAAATCCTATTAACATGGATATAAATATAAAATTCCAGAAGCAACTTGTATTAAGTAGTAAAAAGTGCTTTACCTGAAACAAATTTCACTAATTTAAATTTTAGTAAAATGATTTTTAATCAATGTGAACTATTCGCGTCAATAAAAAAAATCATTAATTACTGAATAAAGCTGAAGCAAGTTCTTACTTTACTTTTGTAATATTTTCAGTCACAAACCTTGTGATATTTAACTGTAATGTAAAGATTATAATTTCTAGCTATTTTTGCATAAAACTTAACAAATGCATTTACTTGTGATATACAAGCCTGTGTTTCAAATTGTGGATATTTCGTGACATACTTGATAAAAAACTATTTGGCCACATTCCAAATATAAAAAAAGCTTTTATCGCTCACTATAGAATATGATTATTATGAATATAAATATCAAAAAATAGTAGTCAAACAACAACATCATGGTATGTCATTAAATTAAGCAAACCTGTCCTAATGGAAGTTTTTGAACTTGTTAAAATGTATCACGTTTTCTCGTGTAGATGGGTTAGATGTATAAACAAAAAAATCATAATTTTAAAATCACTCAATGTAAAATTTTAAATTACACTCATTATAGATTCGATTTATTTTTATATATATTTTGTACCGGCTGTAAATATGAATTGAATTTGTTTGTTATTTACATCTTATAGTAAATGCTGCTATTAAGTATTTTCTGTTCATTATACTGATATTGATTGACAAATATTAATATCATAGAAAAGGTCCTTACATAATACATTACACATTTAAATTAAATAGAATGATGCATTTTAATTATTTACTCAATATTTACTATTATAAAGAGAGTGAGTTTGCTTGCATTCGTATGCAAGAGTCATCTCTGGAATTACGAACTGATTTTGAAACTATTTTAATGTTTGAAAGCTACTTTATTTCATATAGTCACGGGCTATATTTGATTCCAAAAAAAATTGTTCTATGTTCCACAAACTAATTACCTGCCTTAACCCTTCGCATCATGCATTGACGTAGTTACAAGCACTGGCTAGCAATACCGCCAATCCATATTATTCGTTCACCGTTAGATAAACATACGATTAAGTTTCCCTACCAAAAAAGAGAAATTGCTATATTTATGCTAGATCTAGTAATCACTGACATTTTGAGACAAAATTGCTTCTCTCATGAAAAATTTGCACGCTAATCTTATTAAAGGAAAATTATATTTTGAGACAAAATTGCTTCTCTCATGAAAAACTATCATCATCAAAAAATTATTTGATAGTGTTTTAAACTTTAAACAGTATTTTCGAAATATTTTAAAACATACTTTGTGATGAGTAAGTCTTTAATAACCAAACATGCAAACATTCATAAACTCAAGCTGGTAGGTGTACCAAAAGGTAGGTGTACCCAAAGTGGTAGGCAGAGTCTACGGACTTTAATTTTGAACAATCTACAGACCTCTTCCCTCTCAGAAAATAATTTCGTATACATATCATTATAAGTTTTGTGTGTGTTTTCTTAAGAAGTAATTCTATTATTTTTTTTTTGGTTTTAGAAATATTTAGAAACATTGTCCAGAAAAGTATTCCATATGACAATGAATCAGTCGTGAAACTCTGGATTGGGCCGCGCCTTCTCGTATTCCTGTACGATCCCCGGGACGTCGAGCTAATTCTAAGCAGCCATGTCCACATTGACAAAGCTGATGACTACAGATTTTTCAAGCCCTGGCTCGGTGACGGACTCCTTATCAGCACAGGTAATTTAATAAACCTCAGTGATGTAGTAGTTTTCGCCCGTATCCAATGTAATTCTATTAAAATAAAATAGACTTTAACGGTGAATTTCTTGTAAAATCAATCGAGATTACCGAATAATTTAACACTTATACTTTTTATACGTGGTAGAGCCATGCTGCAGTTATATTAGTAGCATAGTTGTAGCACGAATGGGTCTGCTCGACCAGGGAAGGACCACGCTCTCACAAAATACCAGCGTAAAATAGTAGCTTAATGCTGCTGTGTTTCGTATGGTGAGTGTAGAGAACCGGAGACCCTTTTTACTGAAAGCGAGGCACTCCATCTTAGTCCTTACGAGTGACAACGCATCTGCATTTTGATTTGCAATCGAGGATAGATGTAGATGTCTATGGGCCGCAGCAACCATTTACCATCAGGTGGACTGTGTGCTCGTTTGTCACCCTATCCTATAAAAAAAAACTTATGTAATATTTGCAAATCTCATTAAAATAAATTTACTAGAGGTGCTCTCAATTGGCATTCTCTGCAAGTCAATTCCAGTAAGTGCAATTAAATAAATTGAATAAAATAATATTCTCTTCTCATTTTATTTCATCTTCTATCATTTTATCAATATACTTCGAATAACGGTTACTTTTTACTATTGAAACTATGAACAAGAATAAAAAATATCTTTAGGTTACAGTTCTACTGTGCATAAATCAGACAATATATTGAAAATTCCAGATTAAACTAATCCAATACACGTTGATTTGATTAACATAAGCAAATATATAGATGGAAACTGGTTGCCGACTTTAACAATGTAGTGAATCGCTTGAATACAAATAAGGAGCTGTCTAGGCGCACTATATAGAGATGTTTGTAGGATAAATATTTTATGAGCTTATTTTCCTCTTTATCCTACTACGGGAAGAGTTTTAACCTTAAAACCTTGTAAGCACCGCCGCGGAGCCCCGGTAGCTGAGAGCCTCACCGTAAATATCATTATTCGTGAGCAATCCAGGTTCAATTCCTAACGGCACCAATGAAATTGCCGATTTTAGTTTTAGTGCTGATTTGCCACGTATTTAGCTAAGAAGAAGAACATCGTTAGAAAACCTGCATGTCTGACAAATTATATACATATATACTTCGAAAACACGTGATGTTAGCTAATACGCATTGGGGCAGCGCGGTGGACTTGCTATAAAGCCCTCTCAGAAATGAGACGAGGGCTATGACCAGTAGTTGGACGTGTGTAGATTGTAACTCTAGCTTTTAAATAAAGTTACCACAATCATTATAAACATCAAAATGTTTTAGGACAAAAATGGCGTTCGCATCGCAAATTGATTGCACCAACCTTCCATTTAAACGTACTGAAGAGTTTCATCGACTTATTTAACGCTAACTCTCGCGCTGTTGTCGATAAGCTGAAGAAAGAAAGCGGGGTCTTCGACTGCCATGACTACATGAGCGAGTGTACTGTAGAAATCCTTCTTGGTAAGTATTGTTTTTATTGTTTTCACATAGTGGATATAATTCAGAATTACAAAAAAAATCTTCTGCTTGTGTAATATTTTCCATTAAACAATATTTCTTCTCTCTACACTTCATTAGACAATATTCCTTAAAAAACACAAAGTAACAATTCTTAAATTTATTTATACACAAACGCTTTATCTGAGTAATATGAAAAGCTAATACCTCCTTATTTACTTAAATATAATTTTAAGACCAAGCGTATAATGTAGCGTATAAAAACGTGTAAAAGCATATAAAAACACAACAGTCAGTAACTTGATCATAGAAAAACAAAATTGATGTACAAAGTCTGTAGACCAGTATGTAAATCCGAATAAAATAATTCCGTTGATTACAAGTCCAAGCGTATTTTATTATAATTTGAATTAAATTATCACGGAGTATGTATTAATAAATAATGTTAAGCTATAAAATGCTCTTAAACATTGAATTATTTGGTTGGTAAATATAGAGATAAAATTTGTTTTTTGTACTACAACTTCTTACAACTTCTTCTTCAAACTTATAACATATCATCATCATCATTATTATAGCCCATCACAAGTCCACTGCTGAATAAAGGCCCTCCTCCAAGGAATGCCACAAAGCACAACTTGAGCCAACTGCACCCATCAACTTCCTGCATGTTTTATTAGGTCGTTAATCTATCTAGTGAGAGACGTCCAATACTTCGTCTATCGCTTAGAGGCTGCCACTCGAGAACCTTTCTGCTCCATCGGTTGTCGGTTCTTCGAGCTATGCGGTCGTCCCACTGCAACTTCAACTTACTATTCCGATGATCTATGTCGGTAACTCTAGTTCAACTGCGGATGTCCTCTTTTCTAAAGACGATTTAACTAATAATTCCTCGTTCTAATTCACTGATTCAACTTGGCTGGGCAGCGTTTGGGAGATTATTATACATCTTGTCGTTAGGTATATCTTGAAAACGAGATTGTAGAACTAGTGCGTGATGCTAGTGATAAGTTATGAATCTGAGCCATGGTCCTTCACTGCTGGCCGTATGAGGAAGCTTAAGATCTCTCAGCAAGTTATGTAGAGGGCTACGCTCGTGGTTTCATTGCGTGATAAACTTGTAGTCGTAATATATAATATGAACAAAATATACACATAAGAAACTAACATACTTATAAATACATTTAATACATAATATACACACATTTTAAGCATACTTAGCTACAAACAAAATACAATATAAATAGAAAACCATAGATTGCATAAAGTGTATATTGTTTTTTTTTTACTTACTTTTTCAAAAATGTTAAGCGAGTATTATTAGCCAAAAAGCAGTCAGTTAGGAAGCTTATCGTAGAAACATTAGAACATAATCCAAATAAAAATTATAGTAATATTCGGTAAAATTTAGTTTCAAATCCGATTATGCTAAAGATTATGATATGGAATAAAATCTCTGAAGTAATTTTATCATTATCTACATAACATAAAGAAGAAAAAAGACCAATCATCATTCTTCTTATATTTTCATTTGTAATTTTTACATAAATTATATCGTTTATATAAATGGTATAAAATAAAATTTCAGTTATTCGGCCTGTGGAAATTATTAAAATCATCAAGCAATTGTGGTTAGTGTTTGGTCTTCTAGTGTAAAATATATCTATTTGATAAATCAATCATCTTTCATTATAAACAACGAGTTTACCGAGGTGGCCTCATTTAAATCTAAAGAAGAAGGCGCACAGATAATTTAGAATGTCGTTTAGACTTCAAGTCACGTCGCGGCGTTTGTGACACGGCAGGCTACTCCGGCCCTCACCGGAACAACGTGTTATGTTATTGAGCATTATGCCTTGAGAGCTAACGACTCACATCTTAGTTTTGATAAAAAAACAAGGCAAATATAATATTCAAAATTTATCAAGACAAGTATTATATGATTTCATATTACTTAGCACATAAATTTAGTCTTTTCAATCTTAAGACCTCGTTAGGAGACACTACTAAGATATTGAGCATAGTGCTAAGACTCTCTAAGCGTTCTGCCATAACGATTATACTTCTATAAATCAGAACTGAGTGATCTGCTATTGATGGTACCGTGTAATACCGTGTCCTTTCCAGCCCAGTAACTTAAAAATGCCTTTCAATGCAACGGTGATATTTTTAGGAATATATCGGTACCCTGCGTAACACCTTCCTGCAGTTGGATTGGTTTGGTTCTGTGGTTCCGAACTCGGATCGACGTAGTTAGCCTTACTATACACACACTAATATACTCAGCACCCGATATCGGTTTAAATACGGACTCTCAACCAAGGATCGAGGATTTTCTCAGAATCCATATTAGTACATATAAAAACAACACATAATACTCTCTGGTTTTCTATATAACCTACCGAAAAGTAGGTGGTATACAGTCTTTAGTATAATTGCCTATTCATAAAACGGGGCTAGAGTCGTCGAGTATACGTGCAAAAAGATTCGTGATAACTCTCAAAAACAGCAAGTTTAAGCGACTTGAGAGATTTAGAGAAATAAAGACCAATGTCTATATCTTTTCAATGGAGTTTTGAGAACTTTCTTAAAGAACAAAACAACCATATGCTTGTCCACGCCTCTTGAGTAGCACGACCGCTAAGTACGTAATTCAATAGCTTCTGACTGACTTTAAGTTCTACATCCACTCAATTCCATCACCACCCGGCGCTATGTCGTTTTTAACGTTTCCGAAAACCATACTAATCTCGCTTAATCTGATGTCTAGGATCTTTGACCATTTATTGAATGGCCTAAGTCTAGGATATATTCGGAATAGTATCGGATGAGATTTGCTCTTGAGTTACTCTCACTCTTAAATAAAACTAGTTTTTACGGATTTTATCGCGTATATAACTTATTTTATGTTCCCGACGTTTCAAGCACTTTACAGCACCCATGGTCACGCGGGGAGGGCCTCAACGGGCAGTGCTAATATACACGATTTTTTTTTATATGAGAAGGGTGATTAGTGAGCACACAGTCCACCTGATGGTAAGTGATTGTTGTGGCCCATAGACATCTACATCTATTCTCGACTACGAATCCAAATGTCAACGCGTAGTCACCCGTGAAGACTAAGATGGAATGCCTCGTTTCCTAGCAAAAAGGGTCTCGAGTTCTCTATATTCACCATACATAACACAGCAGCGTTAAGCTACTATTTCACGTTGGTACTCTGTGAGGACGTGGTCCTTCCCCGTCTAGCCGTCCCATTCGTGGTACAACTTATAGTACTAATATAGAAAATTTTGATTAGAGTGTTTATTAGTAGTATTAACTAGTTTTATTTAAATCCGCAGTGTTCACGTAAACATAAGAAATCATTACTCACACTTGGTTAGAGTTATATCAAAGAGGTGTACAGTTGTCCATAAATTTTCTTCATCACATTCAAAATTTCCGGTACCCCGTAAATGATGCTGCCGGTATCGAACCACAACTTGGCTTTTGATCGTCCTTTGCTGAACACACACACACACATACACACACACACACATATATATATATATATATATATATATATATATATATATATATATATATATATAAATCAAATCTCGAAAAACTCTAAAATGGTTTGACTAATTTTGATGAAACTTATGTGTTTGAGTGGATCCCGATAGGTGGCTCCGTTGTCGAGACCCAAAAATTATCCGTGCGAAGTTGGGGCGGATTCCTAGACCATTTGGGTTGAATGGTCTAAGGGCGGATCGCTTGTATCCAAAATTAGTTTTTATTCAATACCTCTTTAATCAATATTATATTATATTAAAGTTTGCTATACCATAAAAAAATACAGAACTACTTTGCAATATCGACCTATTAGGCTGAATAAAAATATGTACGCATACAAACAAGGAAATAACCGCGTGGTGTTACTATATACTGTACAATTGGTATTAGTAGTGTTATCATTTAAAGTATTTAAATAACGCTAAAATGAAAATCGCTTAACTGCAATTAGTAATTTATGATAGAAATCACGTTGTTTGCATCTAGGAACTCGTCTAAATTAATAATTTTATAAATAATACATTATATTACGTATAAGTAATATGTAAATAGCTGCAGTAGCGTAACGAGATCTGTGTAACATAAGGTAAGAATGTATACCCAACCTTCGAGTGAAGTTTAACCACCTCCCACATCGACACGTGTAAATTTGTATTTGTAAATAGTCTATAGTCACTATATCTACGCTTAAAGGGGTATACATCTTTCTAAGGGCCTTCAGAAAGATTAAATAAAAACCACAGTTTTTAAATAAACGTGTATCCACCGAAGACTTTCGATGTAGATTCAGCGATTATCAATTTAAATTCTATACCTCGGCTGTTTGTATTCGTTAAGCGAACACAACATAAACGGACGTGCTTATTTGTGAAACTGATTCGTCCGACAAATCTCATTGTAGTTCTCAATACGTTTTTCAGCAAATTTAATTCAATTTTGTGCACGGTGTTGAATAACTTATATATTTAATATAACAATTAAGATATTTTAGCTTCTGCATAAACAAATGTTCTTATAATTAACGCATTTTTTCACTCATTACAAACTGTAACTAGTCTCCTGGCAAATATGGGATTCCCCTATAAATTTTCCCACAGAATTATATTTTTCCATAGTTGCCACGCTTGGCGGATTGGCGATCACAGTCTCTTTTAATGTTATTTAGTGGTTATCATATATATCTTAATGTTGGTGCCACGCTTGCGATTGGGTCTCCTTTGTTTTGTGAACAAAGTTTCCCTCTGTCGCACCGTTACCATTACCGTTTACTTATTTATTACGATTACCATTAAAGTCCATTACTGAATAGGCCTCCCCTTAACATTACATTGTAGGTGTGATATTTGCCATAGTTGCCATTCTTGGCAAGCGGGTTGGCAACCGTAGGTTTTTGTTTTTAGTTATTAGAAAGGTGCTGCTGCCCATGTTCTGATTTGTTTTTCTCTGTCGCCTCTTACGACACCCACGAGATGATACGGGGTAGTGAATATGCTTATATCGCCACTACACAGATTTTGTTACATAATAATTGTCATTCAGTATGATTTCCATTCCAAAAATAAAGTAGTTACTTTATACACGGGATTTAGAAAAAAATCAAGTGTTTCGCTTGTAACCCTACTAAGATTAAATAAAAACCACATCTTTTTTTACAGAGACTGCGATGGGTGTAAGTAAAAGTACTCAAGACCAAGGCGGTTTTGAATATGCAATGGCCGTGATGAAAATGTGCGACATTCTTCATTTGAGACACACTAAGATTTGGTTACGACCTGACTTGCTTTTTAACTTCACCCAATATGCTAAAATTCAAAACAAACTTCTTGGTGTCATCCACGGATTAACAAAGAAGGTATGACATAATAATGGGATTTTTTATCGTATAATGTATACAGATTGACTGCATAATTTTATGTACATTAGTAGATTTGGCTTTACAAAAAATATTTTAACAGGTCATTTTAAGGAAGAAGGAGGAGTTCAAAACTGGAAAGAAGCCAACGTTAGTCAGTGAGGTCGAAGCTCCTAAAGAAAACTCTACAAAGACTACTTCAGTCGAAGGTCTTTCCTTTGGTCAATCAGCCGGTCTTAAGGATGATTTAGATGTCGATGATGATGTTGGACAGAAGAAACGCCTTGCTTTCCTTGACTTACTTTTGGAGAGCTCACAGAGTGGAGTCGTTATCTCAGACGAGGAAATTAAAGAACAAGTGGACACAATTATGTTTGAGGTAACAAACTTTAATAAAACATTTACTTTAAATATTTCTTTTGTAATTTTTACACACATGTTAATAATATTTTATGCAGGGTCACGACACTACTGCCGCTGGAAGCAGTTTCTTCCTTTCGATGATGGGAATTCATCAAGATATTCAAGCTAAAGTTATTGAAGAACTCGACCAGATATTCGGTGATTCCGATAGGCCAGCAACATTCCAGGATACTTTAGAAATGAAGTACCTTGAAAGATGTTTGATGGAGACTCTCAGAATGTTCCCGCCAGTGCCAATTATCGCTCGTCATCTGAAGCAAGATATTACACTTCGTAAGTAGTTTTTTTATCTTCATACATGTATACCGTTGATTTATTAATCAATACAAATTATATTTTAAAAAATTGTGTTAAAAACTTCTTAATTTGAAAGAACGATCTGCTAGTTCAATATAATTTTAATTAAATTTTATAAAAATATTACTTATCGTTCGTTTTTCAGCTTCAAGTGGCAAGAAGGTGCCTGCTGGTGCTACAATTGTAATTGCAACATACAAACTGCACCGTCGCCCTGATGTGTATTCCAACCCTGACAAATTTGACCCCGACAACTTCCTACCAGAACGCTCTGCTAATCGTCACTACTACGCTTTTGTACCATTCTCCGCTGGACCAAGAAGTTGTGTTGGTAAGTTCAATATTATTATTAATCTATATAATACAATAAAATATCTACAGCTTCGGTTATTAATATGATATTTTTGTTACAGGCCGCAAATACGCTATGCTTAAATTGAAAATTATCCTATCGACCATATTAAGGAATTTCCGTGTTATTTCTGACCTCAAAGAATCTGACTTTAAACTCCAAGCAGATATCATCTTGAAACGCGCAGAAGGATTCAAAGTTCGCTTGGAACCTCGCAAACGGATGACAAAAGCCTTTTAATTTACAGCAACGTAATTAACAATGTTTAGTATATACCTATATCTGTAATAAATACGCACATGATTACAGTTATTAGTGTTATTAGTGTATGTGATACTGGTACTGACTAATTTATTATTAATTGTAGGATGACGATAATAATGGTGGTAGGACACATTCGGGTTGTGAAAAAGGTGAAAAAATATTTTGCTCAAATGTGTTTGTGGTTAAATACATTCTGTAAATAGTTAATTATTTTCACCTGATTTATTATGATTAAAGACATGAAAGAAAAATGGAATTTTATTCTGTACATGTGCGATAAATACTCACACATCCACAAATGAAGTTACATTCGGATGTAACTGCTTCGAAGAGTTTGTATATTCTCAGTAGTTGGTGTTCGATCTAGCAATGAAAATCCTTCCGAGTGGCTTTCCATATTATAATCTTCCACTAGACTTGGTAGATGTTGAAATCTTCGTAAAATTGAAAAGGAAATATTTGTTTAACATATATATATATATATATATATATATATATATATATATATATATATATATATATATTGACTATATATTTCTTTCAAGATCTTTACCTCAAAATATCCAATGGTGTCCGATGATGAACAGAACATGAACACGGAATGAATCTATGATGATCTTGGTCCACCCACCACCCAACTTTTGATAATTTCCATTCTATAATCTTTATTTCTGCTACAACACAGGAACTTGCATCTTTTATTTGTTTAAAATATGATGTTATTAGTTCTTGACCTAAAACATCACGAAATTGCATTCATTAATTTGAATATGTCTATACTATTATTATAATTAATAAATAAAATGTGCAGCTTTTAGCATTTCATTAGTTTTGAAGGCTATTAGATTTTAAATATGTAAATAACAAAAATTATCATTGATAATAATGTATGTGCAAACCTGTGTGTAACTTATCAAGCGTAAAATATTAATAAAGGAGCATGTATAAACGGCATGTATATTTTGCTTTATTGGCTGCGTTTGGCAGAAAAAAGCGCTAGCAAGCGCTTGTAAGCAAAATGGCGATCGTAAGCGGTAAGCGCTGTCAAATCGTAAGTAGCTATTTTCCTCTAGGACATGAAATTAGCTTTAACCGGGGAACCTAACCAAATTTAAATATATGTTTGTAAAGTATTCATATCAAAAACTTACCAATCATGAATTTTTAATAACATGTATAACATGTTTATTCATGTCATTATATTACTTGAAACTAATATTGCACAAAACATCTTATAAACTCTACTTCAAAACAAACAAATTAAATAAGTTATAAATAAACAAAATGGCGGATTGTGTCAGCGCTCCTGAAGTTAGCAAACGTGTCCTGGCCGAAACTGTTTCGTTTCACCATTTTGCTTACAAACGCTTGCTAGCGCTTTTTTCTGCCAAACGCAGCCAATGATCCTTAACTTCTACAACAACCGCATACGGAGAGCCCAGATTTCTATTACAAACGGAGCCAAAAGAATCATGCCCACTTTCCCATACATTGATTGACCTGTCACTTGATTCCTTTAACAGGTGGCGTCTACTTACAACTACTGTTGTATAAACACAATTATTGTTTATAATAACATAATAACTTATCATATTTTCATTTAGAGGTCAGGTAAAATGCTATTAATTAAGTAAGTTTTTGAGCTTATAACAGCTGTCTGATAAGTTCTGTACACTTATTTTTCTTTCCACACCATAGTATAAAACCATCAAAAAATCGTATCTAATCATATATTAATAAGTTATAAAAAAAGCAATTGGTTGTTTTGAACACTCATAAACCACATAACGAATGAACAAGGCATGGTTTCTGGGTTTTTGAGCCATTGTAAAACACGTTTCATCTCCAAAATTCTATTGAGAATGATTAACATAGTAACATTACTTCTTTTCCTGTTTTTTTTTTGAAAATTCAATTATGCGATACGAAATAAGCAAAAAATATGCAATTTTATAAGTAATTTTACATCACTGGACGCGTTAGAAATTTTTTAGGGAAAAACTGGATATGATTCTTTGTGCAAATACACGAATTGTTAATTTAGGTTTTGGATGTATGGTAAATAACACCACTGTCTCTCACTGCATCCATGCCTATTTCGACTTAATTGCATATTAAGTATTATATCGAAGACAAATCATCAGCCACTAATTTCTCACCACGCCATGGATTGCCCGGCAAATAATGCTAAATAGCATTAAGTCTGTCCTTTTTAACCTTTTTACAATAAAGTTTTGAAATAAAATAAAATAAATCAGTTAGTCCGAGAAAGTAGTTCTTGCGTTTGCACCTAGAGGAAAACTATCGTCAAATCACTAGAGAGGTTGGTATTCTACTGGAATACCATCACATTCTACTATCACGTTATTAAAATGTAACTTAACGTAGCTTTATACTGACTGTTCGAAATAAGCAACGTCACCATCCGGTGACATCTGGTAACAACCAGATTCTCACCACGTCGGTACCACTAGACAAGTAATAGTAATTTTAAATGCCGATTACTATGTACACGGCGATGAAAGAAGCCAACAAACACTTGTATGTCTGGAATTCTTTTTATGAATTAGGGTAACAAGAGCACACAGTCAACCTGATGGTAAGTGGAAGCTGTAACTCGTAGATATCTATCTATTATTGTCTACAATTATGAATCAAAATGCGGAAGCGTCGTTACCCCTGAGGACTAAGATGGAATGCCTCGTTTTCAGTAAAAAAGGGTTTCCGGTTCTCTACGCTCACCATACGAAATACAACAGCTTTTAGCTGCTATTTTACCCTGGTATTCTGTGAGAGCGTGGTCCTACAAATTAGGAGCAGTAACCCTACAATGGTCAAGTTACCTCTAAAAGTCACTGCTGTTTGAATGGAACTTGGAGTATTCACAAAAAGTTAAAGAAGGAAAAGCTTACCTCTTGAAACTGCCATCATTACTCTAGATTGCTCTGCTTCTTCTACATATTTCTCTGTTTCATCGCTCTCATATATGACATCCAAGTCAGTCGGCAAATTAGCCCTAATTTTTAACATTGAAGCTTCTTTTTTCCATATCTACAACATAATCCATTAGAATTTATATTCCATATGGGGGAGGCCAGCATTTAGCAGTGTTGTTTAGTATTCGGCAACACAAACTCCACACTAATGAAGTATTATCTACATATAATATAGTTAAGAATAGACATCCCGACCAAACTAATTTTTATCACACAACGTACAGACATCATTTAATTGTACTTTCTGAATTGTGAATTACTAAGGTCAAAAGTTTTAGGCAAATCCCATTTTCTTTATTCTAGGTAGGTAGGACACGTTTTTGGTCAAGGAATTCGTTTGGGAGGGTACCGTACCCTTGCCTAATCATGCCGGAACCACAGAACAAATAATAGCCGGAACATAGCAGTGCTTGTACGAGTACTTCACTACAGGCTGTGAGGCATTTCATTTTAGTCCTCAGAGGTTGCAGGTGTCCATGGACTACAGTAGTTACTTAACCACAAACAAGATCGATGAATCAAATCATTGAAAATCAAAAACACATTCGTTAAAAATTAATATAATATCAGGTTCCACAAGACCAATTAAAAACAACGTAATATATTGCTCGATTAATATACTATTACGTCAAATGAAAAAATTTCCAACATGATATAAGAAGTAGACCAGTATTTTTATTTATAAAAGTAATAAGCCTAAATGTATGTAAATGAAATGTTTTTAAAAATGATTCTGGATCAGGTTCTTTTACACAACTTTAAACAGCGCAGCAATAGGCGCATAAAACAGTTTTCAAGTGATCACATTATTTCTTCTACCTTTCTTCTTCTAGCAACTAACTTTCTTATTTGAATGTTTCTGTACATATATGGTTTTTTTATAGAATAGGGTGACAAACGAGCACACAGTCCACCTGATGATAAGTGGTTGCTGCGGCCTATAGACATCTACATCCATTCTCGATTACGAATTAAAATGCAGACGCGTTGTCACTTGTCACCCGTGAGGACTAAGATGGTATGCCTCGGTTCCAGTAAAAAGGGTCTCCGGTTCTCTACACTCACCATACGAAACACAGCAGCATTAAGCTACTATTTTACGCTAGTATTCTGTGAGAGCGTGGTCCTTCCCCGGTCGAGCCAACCCATTCGTGCTACAACTAAACTACTAATATAACTGCAGCATGGCTCTACCACGTAAGTTCGATATTATAAATTATTTAAATTGTTTTTGTATAATATGTTCGTATGTAAGTATGCTTAAGATGTATGTATAATCAGATAGGTATAGAGTATATTATTTAGGTTATTTGTAGTTATATATATTTATTTTTGCATTTTCACATATGGTATGTATGTTTTTATATTTACCCACCGCTTAAGTTTCTCTGCTTAGCTCGTGGTTGATTGGTAGAGAATGCCTAAAGGTATTAAGTCCATTGATTAAAACTACTTATACGGTTTTTATCGCGATTAATTTTTATTTTAATTATTTTTATTTTTAACTCCCGACGTTTCGGGTGCTTTCCAGCACCCATGGTCATGCGGGACTGAGGTGACTGACGTTCCGATGTCATTGTTAAGCCCGGAGTACCTTCAGCTTTTTAATTATTGTATATGGTCCGATCTATGCCCATGACAATGGGTGCTGGAAAGTGACTACTTTGAACACTTTTTCTTAAGCTTAAACTGATAAAACGATATCTTAAAATTTGCCAATTTCTCTCGTTTTCTTTCATTATTAAAACCCACAGTTATGATATCAATATTTTTAAGTTACTTTCAAGTAATAAAGTAAATTTTAGCACTATTGTAGTAGGAGTTTATTTTGTATTAAGTGCCGGAAATACAGTGAGTTATATTTTTTCTTGATTTGGCATTTATGTGACCATATTTTATTTTTCCACTACGTTCGGTTAAACTTAGGAAAAAAATAAGCAAAACATGAAATTTGAGTTAGATCTTTGTTTAAAAAAAACTATGTTTTCACCCCAAAAATAATAGTTTATATTCAATATTGCTTCTATCTAGGAATACTATTCAAAAACAGATTAAAAAAATTTCAGTCATTTGGGGTCTTGCTACCAAAAAGGGTGGCAAAGGGGGTGTATTTTTTGAATTTTCGAAAACTGAAGACTTTTACGAAACACAAAACATATTTTTTTGAAACGCCACAACGTAACATGGTACCCGGAGGTACTATATTATCTGACAGCTGAGAGTTCACTTAAGTTTACCGTTCATCGTCTTTTTCTTAACTATATTAGAGAGACTGAAAATTGAAATTTGACTAAAATTGTTGATGAAAAAAATCATTTTTGAACTACTAAAGTATATATTTATCGTAATTATCTGTTTTGTTTCACGTAACTTTGTCGGTGTTAAGCTAGTGTGAATAACTAGCCCGGTTTGAAAAATTTAATTTATACTAACACAAAAACTACAATTTGTTTTCGTTAAAATTAAAATTATCTAGAAAAATTTATTAAAATTTAACCTTAACTTACGTCTTGAACAAGATATCCCATGAAACACGTAAATGCTTCGGCCAGGTGCTGCGTTCCAAGATCTGGTCTCTCCCTTCTCAAATGTAATTCGCCAAGTAAGTGTAACGCACGGCCAAGATGTTTACGTAAGCCGTGCTCCATAGCTAACGCTCCCATTTCGGTCAAGTATTTTGCTGCTGCTTCGTTATCGCCTATTCTGTGAAGAACATTATTTTTAATATTTTGGATGAAGCTACTGAACAAACAATATTTTTGTAATTTAAAGCAAGTGGATAGTGCTTCATAACGTAGTAAATATTATTAATTAATAGTAATAACAGAGTAAGAAAATTCCTTCTTATTATTATTCCATTTATATTCTATTTTTTAATATTATCTACCCAATTTCATCCCATGGGTGTTGTTAGAGGCGACAGAGAACTTTACAATAAGGTCGTAACGGGAAAAACCCAAAGCCGAAACCTGACCGTGTGCCATAGCAGGGTCGGGGGAAGAAGTGAAAATAAAATCAATTAAGGATACATCGATAGTAAGAACGAGGAGAAATCTTCAACAAATCAGTAAACATTGTGTAAGTATAACTTACCATTAAAAAAATTTAAAATCTTTATTGTTTATTAGATTATTAGATTTATAACAAGTAATAACTTATATTATTATTTATTCTGTGGTAATAATAACACTTTTAAGAAGTTCTCACAAAGTAATAAGACTGTTGTTCAAGCGTGGCCTTAAAAGGATGTTTGTTAATGTATAAAGATCAAATGGTAAATTTTCAATTCCTGAAAATATTCGTAAGTCTGATATAGCATAACATTAAGAAACATCGTATTTATATTGTTATTTTCGCCTAAGACCTTTATACCACAATACATTATTTGATTATTGTTAGATTATTTGATTTTAGTATTTGCTTAATAAGACACGTCGCTAGTACCTAATTAATAAAAAAGTTTATTTTACCGCTTATAGGTTTATAGTGGCATTAAAACTTATTTATACCTACTGCTGTGTTCAAGTCTAAAGGTTATAGAGAGCCAGATTAATTACAGGCCATGGGGTATTTCTACTTAATTCTCAGAGGTGAAGTCATCTTTATTTGTTTTAATGAATAAGTAATTTAATTTGCTTGAAGCTGACTGTAGGAGTCTTTGGATTTAAGTAGCCACTTATCATCAGGTTTACTGTAAGTTCTTTTGTCACTTTAATTTAAAAAAAAATCGCCCAAAATAAGTCACCCTGTGATAATCGTCTCCTGACTCCCATTGAATATCAAACTGCAGTCATATAAGCTATACAATACCTTGACTGTTTTTAACTATATCACATTTACTAGAGGAAAACAATATTTTGAAAAATAAAATAGTGTTGTCTGAATCCGCGCGCTACTTGAGCTATTATTTAAGAATAAATGGAATGGAAACAGCTTTTTAAAGAATTACTAGTTCTCCTGTGAAAGCTCCCTCTTGAATTTAAGAAAGGCCCGATTCCATCCTAACATTCCGTACGACCTCTGTCATCAGCAGGAATAGGCGCTTACGCTTGCAGACAATATAGAAAAGAAATGCACGCATCTGTCTTCTATATTGCTTTAAAATTTATGCTTGTTAAAAGCATTATAATAAGATCGTAACTGTAAAAACCCAAAGTCGGAATCTGACTGTACACCATAGCACGGTCGAAGAAAAAAGTGAAAATAAATTCAAATAAGGAGACGTCGATTATAAGAATGAGTAGAAATCCTTAACATATCAGTAGACACTGTGTATGTCGCGGTCTGGAGAGAATCACTTAGTAACTGCGTTAGGTTTTTTATTATGATGTCTTTGTAACCTAAAATAAGATATTAATAATTATAAGATACGATCGATCGATAGTATCACACAATACAATAAAACCAAACATCAGACGTTTAGTCTAGTCTAGTCTAGATAAAGAATAGGTATAACTTCGAGTTAGTTAAACGTTTTTAATTTACACTTACTTTTGCATTACGGCAGCAAGGTGCATTTTTGTTTCACACATACCGTGGATATCTTTGCTTGCTGAATATATTTTAAAAGCCTTTTCAAACGTTCTTAGAGCATTATTTAAATTATTCATTGTTAATTGACTGATTCCAATTTCAATGATTGCCTCGGCAATTTTTGGGGTATCAGTGGCTGAAATAATTAGTATTTGACTTAAACTTTTAATGATATAAATATATTCCAATAAAACTATCGCAGACTCACCATCTTTAGCTCTACGTTCAGCCAAACGTGATAGCCTTTCTGATTTTGCTGGATCTTCATTTCGTATCATTCGCGCTTTTTGTAATAAGACCCTATGTAGTTGTAAGACAGTTGCAGCAAATACCGAATTCGGTATATCATGTTTTATCTCACTTTCATCCTCAAAAAGCACCCAATCCTAAACAAACAAAATTAGCAAGACATTTTCAAAATATAATGACAAAAGAGATAAAGCATAAAAGAATAGACATAGTAACGCAATTATTAGCCGTTTGGTTGGGGTGCAACGGACCAAAGATAAGCAATGCTGCAGCTGTGTACAGCGATACGAACGGGTTGACTTGACCAAGAAGAAGCACGCTTTCGCAAAAAATACCAGCGTATAATAGCAGCATAGTGCTACTGTGTTTTTTATCTTACTTTCAATGGACGAAAACACAACGCAAACATCCACTCATCTTAATTATTACAACTAGTGTGAGCTATTTTAACACCATTACTTTCAAAACCTCGTAATAGCGGTGTTTATAATATCCCGTCCCGTGAATGTCATAAGAGGCGCAGAAGAAAACATACCAAGAGATGGGCAGCAGCGTCTTCCTATTATAAAAAAAATAAAATAAAGCGGTTGTGAACCCTCCGGCCAAGTGTGGCAACTATGTCAAATATCTCATATCTCATGTGAGACAAATCAATGGAGGAGGCCTTTAGTCAGCAGTAGACTTTTGATAGGCTGTAATGATAACTTTTATAACAAAATAAGATTTTGTCAATTATTGTTCCTGGTCTGGTTCTAACACGATGCTACGATCAGTAGCGAAGCCCTTCTAATCTATGGCAAAATGTTCTATAGTGAAATATTACTACGATTGTTTATATAGTAATTAGTATAGAGCGAAAAAGCCAGGCTTTGGTATGAAGTTAGTCGAGCGCGGAGGCGCGCGGGCGATTCGTTTGCAAGTTCACATTTCAATGTTTACTCTGTGTGTTTAGCTTGAGCGAATGAATATTGCGAGTTGAAAATCTATGTTTTTTTAAAGATTTTTAGTGAAAATGGAGAATAATAGTGTTCCTTGTGATGAAGTGTGTTAAAGTGTTTATCGGCGAGGTAAAGGTAAAATCTTTAAATTTTGTTGAGAATTATCGCATTTGAAAAACAGTTCTTGGTACAACATTTTACGCGGATGTAATCAAATCTTTTCCTAAGAAAGAGAGACGATTCGATTTAGAATATAAATATTTTTTTTAATGTTGTACATAGTTTGTACATTGTTCATGCTTTTCTTTTGTTCATGTATTATATTGTATGTAAATATCTTTTTCTTTCGCTCAAGCAAACCTAAACGGCTTTTTTCAAAGCCTCCGAAGGTAGGGGAGCGGGGGCACGTTGTTACAATTTTTAGATAGTTGTTAATATGACAAAAGCTATCAAATAAATTATACATTTGATTACTTGTAATGTTAGTATGTCTATTTAGCTATTAAAATATGACTGAAAAATTATTAAAATTTATGTAATTTTTTCACAATGGAGAATTTAACTAAACAAGTAGATTGTAACATCTTACCCCGGAATTGGGGCTAGTTGTTACATCATCGGGACACGATGTTACGGTAGATAAATAAAAAAATCATCAGTGATACATATTTTTATAAAAATATGTATCACTACTATACTATATTATATATTATTTCAAAACGATATAAACAATAGAGATTATTTTATACAGTCTTCTAACATTTTGTAGAAAATCACTTTGGCAGGAACATCTTTAAATCTTATATAAAAACACAGACTTAGTCTGCAAATAACAAGTTGTAGTAATTAAATTATTCACTTTCACTTCTTAATTAGTTATTTTAATAAACTTTTGGCAAATTAAATACTTTGGATTCTAACATTCTTAAGGCACTTAGATTATAAAAAGATATATAGTAATTTTTATAGTGGTAGCAAATATTAAATCAGTCTTCATCAGAATTGCAATTAATGCAAATGAATGAGCAAACATTTCCCGTTACACATTTGACATGGGCCCACATTTTGCATTCTAAACATTCTACCCAATTTTCTTTTATCGAGGTGCTATAACTTTCGCTACACACTAAACAAAACCATTCATCAGTATCAGAATCTGAATTGGAAACCAAATTTTTTTTCTTCACCTTTTCTTTTCCTTCTTCGCTCATTTTCGAGGACTTTCCTTTACCTTTTCCTTTTCCTTTGCCTTTTCCTTTAGTTTTGTCACAAGTTTTTTGATCTTTGCCAGTTTTTTCTTCATACTCTTTTTTAATGAGTCTTTTTCAGGTGTGTCGGTTAACACAGCGGATTTGCGTTTACGACGACTGTTGATAGATTGTTTTCGAGCTGCTGCTTTAGGAAAAGGTCTTAATTTTGAAGGTGAAAAATTTTCAAATTTACTTTGTATACCAGATGAACCTGGATTTGATAATTCTATTTCATTTTCTTTTTGAAAACTTGCCAAATCTGGAGTCAGTCATGTAGTATAACATTCTGTATCTTGCGAACTAACGGGATTTTTTAGTAGTGTCAGGCATTGGATTGGTTGCTGTTTCTATTGCCTGTATGATTTCATTATGTGCTTATGTTCAGTTGAGGTGCAGAATCTAACAATTTTGGATTTTCCAGGTTTGACACTAGTCAAATTGGAGATGTTCTGCGAAGTCATGGGACAATCTGTTTCTGGATTAGGGCAATCAGTCTCATAAGAAGGTGCAAAGTCACTGTCTTGAAAAATGTCAGCATTGAAAGGCCATAACCCTGTAGATCTGTATCCACTCATGATATTTGCAGGATTTAGGGCCAAAGGCAGTCAATCTTTCACCACGGCGGGAAGATCATGAATCATCATGGTTTTCCTGAATGATTATACATCCGGGCTCTCTGTGTTCGATTAAAGTGGTTTTTAAAAGGACCATAAACTCCTACATCTAATGGTTGTAAATTGTCAGAGCAGTGCGGTGAAAATGACAGCATAATTATGTTGTTTATTTTGGCTTTCTCAACGCCATGAAAATATTAACTATTTTCATGTCGTTGAGAAAGCCAAAATAAACATTTTACACAATTTATATTATTATAATTACATGCGAGCTGTGGTTATCCAAAAAGAGTATAACGGGCGGTTCAGCAGAAGGCTTGACATGTTGAATGAAATGATCTATACATTTTAAAAATTTTACTTCTGTCATCCATCCCGAAGAATTGCCCGCTCCAATCGCATCTACTGGTCCAGTACGAAGAAAAAGATCCGTGTATCTCATTCTGGGAAACACGAACATCGGCGGAACTGAATTCCCAGCAGCATTTATGGCACATGCAAGAGTAATAAGTATCCCTCTTCCGGCAGATGTGATCGCACCGACTTGTTTTCGACCCCGGGCAGCAACTATTTATTTAGGCTTCTGTACCGTCGTGACACCTGTTTCGTCAACGTTCCATATTCTTGAAGCAGAGAATTCATGTTTTTGGAACAAGCCTTGCAGTTTGTCAAAAAATCTTTAACGTTGGTTTTGTTGAACGATGTTGCTCTACTCAAAGATGTAGCTTCTGGGGTTCGTAGAGATAGTTGAGGATTTCTATCCATAAAACTTTTAAACCAGTCCAGCCCAGCCATATTATTTTTATGCCAGCTGGGGGGAATATTTTTATGTTGAGTTTTAGAACACTTTGATAAGCTAGTTTGCGTACTTCTTGGTTGGTAGTAAACCAAAATATAATTCTGAACTTTTGAATACATAAGAAGCTTATTTATGTTCTGTTTCTTCTGAGAATACCAATCTAGGTTTAACGTAACCTAATGAACAACTTTCGTTGTTTTTTGTTTTTCTGCCATACCTGGATAAGGACATGGGACACAAATTAAACATCTCGCTTGCTTTACGAATGCTCTTTTTATTCTGCAGTACTTCTGCTGCAGCAGATTCATAAACTTCTTTACTAGTTGCACCTCTTTCTGTTTTTCTTTTATAGTTTCTCATTCTGGAAAAAACAAAGAATATGTAGAATTTTTAAAATAAGAAAACGAACGGTACAATACCAGATATGGTAATATTTTTGGGGTAAGTTGTTACAACTTACCCCAAACAATTGTAACTACTTGCCCCATGGCACGTTTTTTAATATAAATTGAAGTCATTATTAATAGATATCGATAGTAGAACAAAACAATATTGTAAATTAAAGGTAGATATATTATGAACGTTCAAGGTTAAAAATTTTGACAAAATAAAAAATATAGTCATCAGGAATCAAAAATTCCGTAAAGGATTTTTTTACTTACTTGGTTGAAATCGGGACACACGCACACAACTTAGCAGTTCAGCGCTTGGCGGGTCACTGATTATTTTTATCTAATGCACGATGTTATAAGAAAACAAATGAGTCCAATTATGTCTATCAAAGAGTTTAAAATCCCGGTAAAAAACGCGTGTAACTTCTTACCCCTGTAACAACGTGCCCACCGCTCCTCTATGCAATTGCAGATATGTCATACAATCTATCTAGCAGTAGTAGGTCTTCTGTGTTTTGGAACTTCGTTAAACACGTCCTCGATACTACTGAATACGATACTGAAGAGTGGAGACAGGTCAAGATTGGTGTATTTTTATAAAACTGCTAAAAACAATAAAACCATATCATGGGTTTGTCCTAGTTTGGAGCCCTAGCTTTGCCACTGACCACGATATCCGACAATAGTATAAATGTGTTGTGCTCATAGCTAACTTATATCCGAAAATAGTACGGAAGTGTACTCATAGCTCACATATACTCATTGGCAGGGCACTGGCCTTAAATTTCATAGTACTCAACCAACTCGAAATTTATTTAGAACTATACTGTAATCAGCAGCAGCAAAAATAAGTGATATTTTTCCAAGCGTATGATGATGAATAAAAACGTCATGTGGTAACTGGAATACCTAAGAAATTTGAAATATTTAAAATAATGAAGAAGAAATTTGAATAATGAAATAAAAAATTTGAAACAACAGCTTAATGCAGCTGTTTTTCGTATAGTGAGTGTAGAGAGTCGGAGATCCCGTTTACTGGTAACAAGGCAATCTATCTTATACTCAACTCAATCTAAGAAATAATTTTTGACGTTTCACATTAATCGTTACGCAGTAACATTATACAAGCGTACTTACTTCTTAAAGAGCATTACTTGTCTCAATCGTTCGAAAATCATTAGGATAAATTATGTGATTATGTAGTTTTGTATTTATTTGTTTATGTTATTGTTAGTGGTATATATTTGAGGATATATGTATGTATATATGTATATATATATGTGTATGTGTGTATATGTATGTATGTATATGTATGGATATGTATATATATGTATATATGTGTGTGTATGTTTATGTTTATACGTATGTATATGTGTATCATATTTTTTAATGTATTAGTTACTTACTTATATGTTATTTTATTGCATGTATTGATATTATATTAGGTATATTTATATTGCACCACCTACCTAGTACTCACTGTTTTATTCCTTTACACCTTTGGTTGCCTGGAAGAGATCGCTATGTAGCGATAAGGCCGCCAAAATGTACATGTAATCTGCTCTCTATTATGTTCTTTGTAAATTTGTTTGTGGTGTGCAATAAAGTATATTCATTCATTCATATTCATTCATACTTACACAATTTAAAATAACCTTTTAAGTAAATCTAAAGAATTATGAAGTTACCCATATTTCATTGCAACATGTGTAGTTCCTCCTATCTTTCAAACAAAGCATAACATAAAAAGTTTAACCAGAATCAACTTTTACTGCTTGACGTTGTTTCAATTACTCGTATATGTCGTTATGCACCTTACCGTATTGTTTGGGTGATTCAAATTCATGCTAATGCGAATAATCGGTAAAAATATTCAAATAATCTGAACTTTACAGATTTAGTTTATTATTTGTTTATTTTTATTTTTAGCTTTAAATAAATTACAGAATCATGAAATAAACAAGCTTTTTTTTTAATAATTTCTGTGTATAAAAAATCACATTGTGGCAAAGTTGTGAGTAAGTTTAAAAGATGCCGGCTTGTACAATGGTAGTACCAGAGTCATTGAGAACCATTTGTAAATACAGTCGCAAAATCATTATTTAGAGACATGAATGCAAAGAATAACATGTTTAAGAGAAATTAAAAATGTAACCAATTGCGTCAACGTTATATTCATTGATGAAACGTGGCTTAACGCCAATCACATTATGCCGCAGACATGAACAGATGACATGTTCCCGTGGGAAAAGGTGTGCACCTCATAATTTGCCAGTGAGTTCCGCCGGAGGAGGATTTGTAGAAAATACAACTACTACACAAGCGATTACAGGTCCAAAGTAATAGAGAATGCAAAAAAAATTCACATTATGATTCTAAAAAGAGGATAGATGTAGTTAATTGTGTGGTCGTTTGTCGCGCTTTGTAGCGAGAAAAAATATGAAATTTAAGGCTCTTGTCGTAGTGGCTTAGCACTTATTTGCGGTGCTGAGGTTTGTAGGTTCGAATCACATAAGGATCAAGTATTTGCATGGCCTAAAAATAATTGTTTAACATCTGTGTATTTATTTCTTGCAATTTATGTATGAAAAATGCCTCTACGATGTAGGGAAAAATTCTTAGGTTTTTTTTAAAAGAAGAAAAATAAATACGTGTGGCACTCGGTGACTGCCGCGGTAAAGCTATTGCATAGCATTTTTTATCAACTTATGCTATTATAATTATTTATTTATTTTATTTATGCAATTAAGTCTTTGATATTAAATCAAGTTACACTTTTTGAGCGTGGTGACTGATAAGAAAACAATTTTTTTTCTCTTATTGAATAAATGAGAACTTAATATTGTTTAAAATATTTTTAATATCTTACAATATATGTAATCAGGAATTGGTTATTCAGGAATTTTTATCATTGAGTTAGCAGCTAGTGTACACGCATACGTCTAGTCGCACGCACACAAACACCGTGCCGAAGTCTGCCGAGTGCCGAAGTCTGCCGAACTGAAACGACGTTAGACGATGCACGGCTTTCAACGCCACACCTCCGTGCCCGTCGGAGTGGGGAGCGTGAGGTTTTTTTTCGTTACGGAATTTCTGGATTCGGTCCCCGCGCTCAAGGCCCGCGATAGAAGCTATGCAATAGCTTAAAAATGATGCTAGTTTCACGTCCCACGTTGGATTCATTAACAACCTACTAAAGTTAGGGTTCCACATAGATTGCCTTAAAAGGGGATTATTTCCATACCTGCCACGGTAACTGTAGTTTTTTTTATTTTCTAGCTGTAATCAGGTAGATCCTGCTGCCCATCTCCTGTTTCAGTTTCCTTTTGTCGCCTCTTACGACACCTACGGCTTATAAAGAGGATCTCAGTAACATAGAAAATTCGCTAATTTACACTTGAGCAGCAGAGCAGATACCTCTTTTGCTTCATTTTTGGAGGAAAATGAAGGAACCGGTAGGATGCGTAATGTTAGTTTAGTTTTTAAATACATTAATATACTTCATATACAAAAGTGGATTCTTAGATATTTTACGAACTTTGTACCTAATCAAACTTACACCCTACTAACTTAATTATCTTATGTATATTTTAAAAATACACAACATACTTATACCTAAGGTACTTCGTAAAATAAATTTTTCAATAATCGTACCTTACCAATTGCGCTATCCCTGACTTCCGTAAAAATTTCGAATGATTCATCAGGGTCTGCATCTGGAACTAAAATATTCTACTTAATTGAAATATATGAAATATAATACTAATGACTTCTTGGTCGAAATTGAACTAACCTAATCGTCTATTTTGTCTCAGTTACATATACACTCGTTAATAAGACTGCGCTCGAGGTTGTTGCCGAGCGCAGTGTTCTTAACAACTATCGACATAGGCGTTAGTCATGATTTTTGTCTTGTTTTTGTTTATCTTTAGACCTATCTGCTAGGAAACACTACTGAGGTCATTGAGCATAGTGCCAAGGTCCTTTAAGAATTCTGACATAATGACAATATCGGCAAATCGATGGTAAGTAATTTATTTGGCATTGATGACAATACATTATTCTTTCCAACCCGGTAGCTTGAAATGTTTACACGTTAAACTGACGACGTTACTCAAATGTGAATAAACGAAAAGAAGTTCGGTAATAACAGTAATATTCGAAAAACATCAGCTTTGCATGATTTTGAAGATTAGTAAAATAAAATTAAGTCAAGTTGTCAAGTCATCCTTGAGATATTTCACTATTTCTTTACAACAGACTAACCAATAGCGACACAAAAGTTTTTCATTGCACTTAATTTTATATTAATTACTAATTTTAATAAAACATCGAGGTAATTTATTAGTCTCTACTCTTACTACTAATTTGTAAAATAATAAACATGATGATTTCTTATATTTACGCGAACACTACACAAAAGTACTTTTACGGATTTTATCGCGTTTAATTTGAATTTTAATTATTTTTATTTTTTTCCCGTTGTTTTGGGTGCTTTGCAGCACCCATGGTCACGGGGGACTGAGGTGACTGACGTCCCGATGTCATTGTTAAACCCGGAGTATCTTCAGCTTTTTTAATTATTATGGTCCGATCTATGCAAAATGAACTGACTATGTCTTGAGGTTTTGCAGTGGTATCCTTGGATTTAGTTTTAATTTTATTGATTATAGGGTCCCAAGCAGGTGGTAGTACCCAGCCTCCTTCTCTGTTGAAATTAGGATGTTTTTTTTTTTAATTTCAATAGCCTCACGTAACATGCTTGGTAGGAATCGGTGTTCTTTCGCGAGGATTTGTGGTCTATCAAATCTGATGTAATGGTTGGGGCTGTCTAGGATATGAAACGTCGGGAATTAAAAATAATTAAAATTCAAATTAAACGCGATAAAATCCGCAAAAGTAGTTTTAATTGATTAATTTAATTGATTGATAAAAGGCTCGCGCACATTAGGGCGGACCGCTCTTCACCGCATCGCAACAAGAGTCCTCCTACATCGCTTTTGTACATTTTATATGAACTTATATACGTAACCTTAACAAGTCGACAATAAAGTTAAACATCTCCGCTTGGCGTTCGAGGTGTGCAAAAACAATAATAAAATAACTTTTATTATATCAGAAAGAAAAAATATTTTGTAACAGCAAACTGTTAGTACCTAATATGGTTTTCTACGAGTACGTACTGTAAGAGTTTTTGCAAACATTGTCTTTGCTTTTTTTATATGGTACATGACGATTTTTTAATCAAAAAAGAATGCTTTAGGAGTGATTCCATTCAAATTTTAAACTTATGTTGTGATTTTAAATTTAGCTTACATTTGTCCAATAAAAACGATGCGTAATGATATTTGCAACAAGCTTTCTGTCGTCCACCGTCGACCAAATAATGACTTCCAACAGCGATCGATGCCAGAAAGAATTTTTCCGCTAACCACAGAATTCCTTTTCCCATTTCAGAGTAATACATGGCAAGTTTGAGCAACTCCAAGCATTCCTTCTTTTTGTTATCTATAAAACAAACACCAATTCTTTTTGTATTATTTTGTAGTCAAAAATATAACTTTAGACACACATAGAGACATAAAGGAAGAGATAGAGATAATTTTTATATGTAGTGACATAAATTTATACGTGATAAATGTAGAGAAACGGAGAGCCTGTTTACTGAACACACGGCATTCGATTTTAGTCCTCAGAGGCGTCAACGCATCAGCTTATTGATTCTTAATCGAGAATAATTGTAGATGGACCATAGCATTAACTTACCACTAGGTGTGCTTGTTTATCAACTATAAAATTAATAGGTATGGATGTCTTTATAAATATTTAATCAATTTTAACAAATCAGTCTTCGTCATTTATTTAGTCTAATGCCGCCATATTGGCTCGCTAGTTCCCTAGTTACAATAACATTTGAAACATAAGTACTTTTTTATTTGAGTGATTAATTATGTGAATATAATTACTTTTAAAATATTTATTATAATTCTTGAACGTTAGGAATTAAAATTGAGGCTCAACTATTTTTATATAGGAAATATAATTATGTAGATATATTAATAGAACATCGTAATGACAATTAATCTTTTAGAAACTTGTCATAAAAAGAAAATATTTATACTTAATAATCTAACAATCGGCCCTTCTGATTTTCCTGCCTGTCCTCAAGCAGTCTGACATCATTTTATGTAAGTTTGTACACTTTTTTTAAATAAATTTTGAATACAATATAAATTTTCATTCAAGCTATCAGAGAAAATATGTTTAATATACATCATGTTTTCACTAAAATACAATTGGCAATTAATATGAATTTTCATCTGCTAAGAAAAAGAAAAACAAATGTACTTGTGTATGTACTTGTGTATGTTATGTACTTCGGTGGATTACCGCGTACACACACAGGTTGTATCGGCCTCTGTCCATTTACTTTAAATTGGTGGGCGACCGCGTACACACACAGGTTGTAACGGCCTCTGTCCATTTACTTTAAATTGGTGGGTTACCGCGTACACACACAGGTTGTATCGGCCTTTGTCCATTTATTTTAAATTGATGGGTTAACGCGTACACACACAGGTTGTATCGGCCTCTGTCCATTTACTTTAAATTGGTGGGTTACCGCGTAAACACACAGGTTGTATCGGCCTCTGTCCATTTATTTTAAATTGGTGGGTTACCGCGTACACACACAGGTTGTATCGGCATCTGTCCATTTACTTTAAATTGGTGGGTTACGTGTACACACACAGGTTGTATCGGCCTCCGTCCATTTACTTTAAATTGGTGGGTTACCGCGTACACACACAGGTTGTATCGGCCTCTGAATTTAAATTGGTGGATTACCGCGTACACACACAGGTTGTATCGGCCTCTGTCCGTTTACTTTAAATTGGTGGGTTACCGCGTACACACACAGGTTGTATCGGCCTCTGTCCATTTATTTTAAATTGGTGGGTTACCGCGTACACAAACAGGTTGTATCGGTATCTGTCCATTTACTTTAATTGGTGGGTTACGTGTACACACACAGGTTGTATCGGCCTCTGTCCATTTACTTAAATTGGTGGGTTACCGCGTACACACACAGGTTGTATCGGCCTCTGTCCATTTACTTTAAATTGGTGGGTTACCGCGTACACACACAGGTTGTATCGGCCTCTGTCCATTTACTTTAAATTGGTGGGTTACCGCGTACACACACAGGTTGTATCGGCCTCTGTCCATTTACTTTAAATTGGTGGGTTACCGCGTACACACATAGGTTGTATCGGCCTCTGTCCATTTACTTTAAATTGGTGGGTTACCGCGTACACACACAGGTTGTATCGGCCTCTGTCCATGTACTTTAAATTGGTGGGTTACCGCGTACACACACAGGTTGTATCGGCATCTGTCCATTTACTTTAAATTGGTGGGTTACGTATACACACACAGGTTGTATTGGCCTCTGTCCATTTACTTTAAATTGGTGGGTTACCGCGTACACACACAGGTTGTATTGGCCTCTGTCCATGTACTTTAAATTGGTGGCTTACCGCGTACACACACACAGGTTGTATCGGCCTCTGTCCATTTACTTTAAATTGATGGGTTATCGTGTACATACACAGGTTGTATCGGCCTCTGTCCATTTACTTTAAATTGATGGGTTATCGTGTACATACACAGGTTGTATCGGCCTCTGTTCATCATCATCATCATCATTACAGCCCTTCACAAGTCCACTGCTGAACATAGGCCTCCCCCAAGTAATGCCACAAAGCACGGTCCTGAGCCACCTGCATCCATCGACTTCCTGCATGTCTTACCAGGTCGTCACTCCATCTAGTGGGGGGTCGCCCTACACTACGCCTACCGGTACGAGGCTGCCACTCGAGAACCTTTCTTCCCCATCGGTTATCGGTTCTTCGAGCTATATGGCCGGCTCATTGCCACTTCAGCTTACTAATCCGTTGGGCTATGTCGGTCACTCTGGTTTTACTGCGGATATCCTCATTTCTGAGTCTATCACGCAGAGAAACTCCAAGCATAGCCCTCTCCATAGCTCGCTGAGCGACCTTAAGCGTCCTCATACGGCCAGCAGTGAAGGACCACGTCTCAGATCCGTAAGTCATCACTGGCAACACGCACTGGTTGTACAATCTAGTTTTTAGAGATTGAGGTATACCTGACGAAAAAATATGCCGTAATTTCCCGAACGCTGCCCAGGCGAGTTGAATCCGTCGATTGACCTCTCGGTCGAAGTTGGACTTACCTAGTCGGACTATTTGTCCCAGGTAAACGTACTCGTCAACAACTTCGAGCATAGTGCTCCCAACAACTACCGGCATAGGTGTGACATGGACATTAAACATGATCTTTGTTTTGTCCATGTTCATCTTAAGACCTATCCATTGGGAGGCACTATTGAGGTCATTGAGCATAATGCTTAAGTCCTCCAGCGATTCTGCCATAATGACTATATCGTCGGCAAATCGAAGGTGAGTGATGTACTCGCCATTGATGTTAATACCGTATCCTTTCCAGTCCAGTAGCTTGAAAACGTCTTCCAACGCAGCGGTGAAGAGTTTCGGGGATATAACGTCACCCTGTCTTACACCTCTCTGCAGTTGGATACGCTTCGAACTCTTGTTCTGTACTCGGATAGCCATCGTAGCCCTACTGTATAAACACTTCAGCACTTCGATATACCGACAGTCAACTTGGCACCGCTGAAAGGACTGTAGCACCGCCCAAATTTCGACGGAATCAAAGGCTTTCTCATAGTCCACATACGCCAGGAAAAGTGGCAGATTGTACTCCTCGGTTTTTTGTACAAACTGCCGCAGGGTATGTATGTGGTCTATGGTACTGAAGCCTTTTCGGAAACCGGCTTGTTCGGGAGGCTGGAAGTCGTCGAGTCTGCGTGCGAGACGATTCGTAATGACTCTCGAAAATAGCATGTAGACGCGGCTCAGAAGGGAAATCGGTCTGTAGTTCTTCAAGAGAGCGTTGTCGCCTTTCTTAAAGAACAAAACCACCGCGCTTCTGCTCCACGCCTCCGGAGTAGTGCCACCATGGAGAACGGAATTAAAGAGCTTCCGAAGGACTTCAAGTACCGGTTTTCCACCCGCTTTCAGAAGCTCCGCTGTAATTCCATCCTCGCCCGGGGCCTTGCTGTTTTTAAGGTGGTGGAGAGCCATTCTAATCTCGCTCAGACTGACGTCCGGGATATCATCGGAATAGTGTCGGATAAGACTTGCTCTTGGATCGTTACTCACACTTGCGTGTGGCTCCAACGATGATGTGTACAGCTGCCCATAGAACCTCTCAATCTCACTCAAAATCTCAGGTGTCCCGGAAACGATGTTGCCACACTCAGTCTTCAGCTTTGACAGTTGGCTCTTTCTGGCAGACAGATCTCTGGCAAAGACTTTGGAGCCCTGGTTCCGCTCGATCGCTTCTTTAATACGAGAAGTATTAAAGTTGCGTAAGTCTCGCCGCATGCATTTGGAGATCTGTCTGTTCAGTTGCCTGTATGCTGTCAAATCTGTTGACGATTGCAGCCTCATCTCCCGTCTAACAGCCATGAGATTAAGAGTGTGATCGGAGAGTTTTTGTGTTCTTCTGCGGCGGGTCTTGCAGAACTTAGCTCCGACCGCATGGACAGTTTCCACGAGCTTGTCGTTCATATCGTCTACTGCATTGCAATCTTCTAGGCACTGAAAGCGGTTACGTAACTCGAGCTGAAAGGTTTCGGGATTCTGGATTAGAGCACGAGGGGGACGGAGCGTTGACTTCATTAGACGAGACCTCTCCAACTTAACGTTTAGGTTCAGTGTGCCTCTAACCATTCGGTGATCGCTGCCAGTTTTCACCCTTGCGATCACTGAGACATCACTGAACAGTTGGCGTCTGGTCGTCATAATGAATTCAATCTCATTTTTTGTCGAACCGTCGGGGCTCGACCAGGTCCACTTCCTGTGGGGCCGCTTCTGGAAGAAAGAGTTCATCATAAAGAGTCCCTCTTTCTCCATAAAGTCGGCCAGCTGCTGGCCCCTTCGGTTCCGTTGCCCTACTCCAAATTTCCCTACCTTCAGCTCACCGCTTTCTCTTGTGCCTAGTTTTGCGTTGAAGTCTCCCATCAACACCCACCGTGTAGTGGGTTTTGGAGGAATGTATGGCTCTGGAAATATCCTCATACATTTCCTCCACCTCCTCATCGGGATGTGCCGAGGTTGGTGCGTAAACCTGAATGACCTTCAGCGAATACCGTTTGGTGATTCTGAGTATCAGGTACGCGACCCTCGTCGACACACTCCCAATCTTTACAACGTTGTTGACGAGAGACTTGTGGACGATAAATCCGACACCTCCTTGGGACAGATGGTCGCCCTCCCGGTGATAGAACAAGTTGCCGGACTCGAGGATTGCCGTGTCCTCCCCCTCTCTTCGGACCTCGGATAATCCAATAATATGCCAGCGCAACTTGTCTACCTCTTCTTCCAGCTCTAGTATCTTCTCGT